GGCGGTTAATGGGAATGAAGCTGCCTAAACCCCGCAAACACCAAGACGACCTGCTGGAGCCAGCAAGGAACGACTATAGCCTGCAGTCTACGGTAGGGAGCCCATGGGGTTCGGCTCAGACTTCCATCTCGGAGATGCTTATATACCAGGAGTAACCTACGATCCTTTTATTTGGGGAGGTGGGGGGGAGGGCTGTACAGGTCCAAAACAGGTTCGAGAAAGCTCGGTGCGCGGAGAGCCGACGACCCAGGCATGGGCAGGCGCCGCCGGCCGAGACCCGCACGGAGGCCCGGCCCGACCCGCCGGCGGGCTCGCCCCGACTCCGGAAGTGACTGTTGTCCGGGCAACGCTCCCAACAGACGGAGCCGCGGGGGCAGCGGTTCGCCCAGTGAGTCCACTCGCCCGGGCCGAGTCCACCCGGGAGGACGGGCGGGCGGAGGCTGTCGGTCGGAGCCGGTGGGAGGTGAGCGCGCGCGGGGCCGGCCCCACGACACTGTCCTCGCGCCCGGGTTCAGCAGCACTTCCGCCCCCCGCAGCGCCGACTTCCGGAAACGCCCCGCTGCTTCCGGTCCGGACGCTCGGGTAGCGAGCGCGGCGACCCGGTTGTGGCCGCTCCGCTGGTCTGGCCCCCAGGCGCCCGGGGACGTGTCCATAGCTCCAGGGGCGGCCGCCCAGAGTCGCGCGGCCGGCGGGGCCCGGTCACGGTGGCCTCGCAGCTTCTGCGCCGCTAGTGACCGAGAGGAGCGGCCGCCACGAGGCGGGACGAGGCGCCTGCAAATAGGGCGCCAGGGAAGCGGGCGGGCGCCGCTGCCTGTGTCGGGGGTCGAGGTGCCCTGCGGGCGGGAGACGTTTGCAGAGATGAAAATGTTCTGTATCCATGTCATGTCCTGGTTGTGGTGCTGTACTAGAGTCGTGCAAAATGCATCCACTAGGGACAACTGGGTAAAGGGTACCTGGGATCCTTTATTTCTTACAACTGCATATCTATACTAATAAAAGGATAATATGCTAATTAGACCAGGCATCTTCCAGACAAAGCCATGGTGGCTAGGGCGGAAGCAGAGGTGGTCAGGGGCAATCAGGCCGGCAGGGGAGAGCAGTTAGGGGCATCAGGCCAGCAGGCAGAGTGGTTAGGGGTGATCAGGTGGGCAGGCAGGCGAGCGGTTAGGAGCCAGCGGTCCCAGATTGCAAGAGGGATGGACGTCTGACTGCTGCAGGGATCAGGCGTAAACCGGAAGTCGGACATCCCCCGAGGGGTCCTGGATTGGAGAGTGTGCAGGCCGGGCTGAGGGACACCCCCCTGCCCTGTGCACGAATTTCACGCACTGGGCCTCTAGTATACAGAATAAGTGCACGGGCTTCTTGATGATGATCACTAATCTCAATATCTTTCTTCTCAGAGTATTGAGAAGTAAAATGGATGAAAATAAGATCTTGAACTAAAATACCTGATTTGATAACAAGAGTTAATCCTAACTTGTACATGGCAAGTAAAGGTCAAGGAAGACAGCTGAGAAAAATTCTTCCCTTCTGAGCAACGTGGTCGATATGGTAAAGAAGGTCTATTTATTTCATATGACAGCACATTTCACAGGATATGTACAGAATGTATACCACTGACTGTAATATATACTTCTATAAAGTACAGTTATAAATATCATATGCCACATAAGCAATAAAGTTCTTACATATAAACAGCAATCTATTATCGAGAACAAAGAATTCACAGAGAGCCTTCGTGTCTAAATTCTGCTCTGCTTTTAATAGAACTGGTAGATATTTCAGTAAGACACAGAATAATGGCCAGTTATTGGCAGCGTACCTTTAACTTCCATAGCTTTGTGCACTTTCAGCAACTTGCCGAATAGAGTTTCCGATAAAGGCCACGGTGCCGCACGGCATGTGTGTTTCAGGCAGTAGTTCAGGTTCACCGGGAGACTGCTCACGGTAAGGAACTGTTTGTCTAATAAAGAGCAAATACCACACACTAATCACACAGAAGCTAAAGCCACCGTTTGGACAAGTTAGTTCACATTTGAAGCATATCGCTTAGAGTAATACTGCCGTTTAAGATATACTGATGCTGAAATGCTTAGAACCCCAAAAAGCACAATAGAAAACTCAAGTTCCTGGCCGTTAACAGAGAGGATGACGTCTATAAATAGAGTGTGATAGCATTTAAGCATCTAGAGAAGTACTCTGACTATGGATTTGCTTTCTGTGGTGAAGTGCAGTGCAGTCCTGTGCTTTTCCACTTTCTTACCAGGGACCCTGCTTCCTGCCATCCCCCGCGCACATCAGTGACGGTCCAATGAGGACGCGGGGTTTCGGGGGACATACACAACGCTCTATAGAAAGGAGCGTTAACGTAAGTCTTATGGGTACAGATGACTTTGGCTTAAACTGACAACAAAACGGCTGCTCACGGATTTTGATTGGGATTACTTAATGAGAGCAAAATACTACATTCTGTAAAAATTCCGTGTGCTTCAGAAAACCAATAGAAGCGGGGTCAGTGGATGCAGCAGAGCAGGAGAGGGGATACACCGCCAGGAGGCGCCGGAGAGCTTCCAGCAGCGCCCGGTGGGCCCCAGCCCCTCAGGGAAGACCCAGTTCAGAGCGCCCCCTCCCCCCTGCTCTCCCTGCTGAGGAAGCCTGGAGCGGCAGACGGGGGTGGAGGAGGAGGCAGCAGGCAGCACACACCTTCGTGTACAGAGAGAGAGGACACCTGGCGCTGAATTCCTCACTGAACCATGGCCTGTGCCTCGCAGACACACGGCCATCAGCTCCTTGGAAAGGGCTGGAGTGTGTGCGGGACAGTGACTGCGACACGTGCTTCCAGCTGCCAGGAGCCGTCCCAGAGGGAAGGCCTGGGGCCTGGAGTGGGGAGTGCCAAGGTGTGTGCGCGCACGCGTGCAAGGAGAGAAAATGCTGTTTCAGGAGTAAGGGTTATTTTAGTTTTGGAAAGAAAATTAATGTCCAAATTTCACTTGCAGCGGTCCTTCTGATAGTGAAATATTGAAAAAGAACTCTCAGAACTTTTAGATACAGATTTGGTCTGAGTCATGCCCTAGAGTTTAGGTGAGTGTTAGCCTGTGTGTGTGCGAACATCACACGTGTGTGCGCATGTGTGCACTCACTCTCTCTAGCAATGCCTCTGAGTCCGGTCCAGCGTCCCGCCCCGCGGACAGCTCCTTGGTGACTGCTCGGGAGGGCGGAGCCGGGCCAGCGGGGAGCTGCGAGTCTTTCTGAGGTTCTTGGGGGCCTCACGAGGATCTGAGTGGGGTCTACTCCCCAGAGTAGTTTTGAGCACTCTTTATGGCTACTGCTCTCAGTTATCCAAACAGAAACACACCAGAACTCCAGTTAATAATGAGAAGGGTTTTCCCTATTTCCAATATACACATACTCCAACTCTGTACACGTGACACAGTGGTATTTCTTGACATCAGTGCAGGAACAAGGACTATTGCACATAATGAGTAACGACGCCCGGTTCTCTCGCTCTGCCCAGCACACGGGAGCGCTGTCCCCTGTGGGCTATCTTTCTGTGAAGTCTACAGCAGGAGCCACCGGGGCCAGAGCGGTGAAAGGGTCGGCTGGAGGGGCGGGGCCTGCGGGGAGCGCAGGAACCGGGAGGCGGGGGCGGCCTCCGTGCGGGCAGCACAACAGGTGGGAACACCAGTCCCTTGACCCCAGTCATCTCCAAAGGTCACGCCTGGGCCGGAGGACGGGCCTGGCCCGAGGGCCCAGGGAGTCTGGACAAGCTGCCCTTCAACTTGGCTCTCACACCAAAGTCCTCCTCTTCCTCGAAGGTGACCCACCCCCTCGGGGGGCTGGCGCTCGCTGTGGCCTGGACCTGCGGGTCGGAGCTGTCCTGGAAGCCGGGGGGCTGAGCAGGAGGCTTGCCGCTGCTCTGGCCCCGAGGCCCGGGAGGAGGGAGGGGAGCACAGGGGACAGGCTCCACAGGCCGTGCCGCCGCCTCTGCGTCCCTGGACGGGGCTCTGAACGGGTTCGTCCTGCTGGCGAAGAGGTCAGTGCCAGGGAAGGTCGGGGCAAATGGGTTCGGAGAGCAGCGCACGTTCTCCTGGGATTGGCTCCGCATGGAAGTGGAGGCAGTGTCGGCATGCAGCTCACAGAACTCAAAATGCTGATGTTACTCGATGTTGCAGGAGGCAGGGGGACCACCCCCTTGGGCCCGGGGTGAGGACAGGGGCGGGGTGCACGGGCGGCTGGGCCTGTGACACGGCCAGCAGACTAAGTGACAGGTCTTCAAACGGGTCGCTCTTCGACGGTGATTCCAGTCTGACCGCAGGGACGCCGTTGGGTCTCACCTGGAAAGAAACAGCACCGAACCGTCAGAAACACATTTAAAGCGACACATTCTCTGTCCCTGGTCCCTGAGCTGGCTCTGTCTCAACTGCTCTCGATTTGGGGGCAGGGATACAATTTAGAAAATAGGAAGCAGCTTGTGTCCTGCTGCTCTGGTGGGTTAGGATAACACAGCTAACATCTCACTCTTGAAAAGCTCCCAACTGAGTAAGCCCACTATAAATAGAGCTTATTTCGTTCATGCAAGTATTGATTTGGTAAAACGGAATGGTATGGGATTAGCCAATGGGTTTTGCTCATGCCCCGTTCTCTTAGACGTCAGCACAAACTGGAGAACCCGTTGATGCTAAGCCCTGTAAAATTCAACACTCATCTGTGATGAGGACGTGGTTTCATTCTTCTAAATCTGTGCTCAGTTAGGGCTCATGTGACCATGGAAATGCAGCCGCAGGGATGAGCATGAATGATTGGCGCACTTGCATTCCTGAGCGAGCAACGCGCCCTTCCTGCTCCCGGGATGGACGGCCCGGCCTTCTCTCCTTCGGAGAACCAGCGGTGAGTGGCGGGGTGACTCCTTAACTGACCTGCCTCATCTTGTAAAAACGTCCCCCAGCACCCAGGTGTGCTGTTCATCATCAGGCAATGGCTCCTTGACCGCCATCATCTATAAACCCACTTGTACGTGGTGTATTCACTATGACCACAGTGCAGCTGAGCCCGGCGTGGTGCGCGGTGCTGGCACCTGCAGCTGTGCCCGGGCTGGAGGTCAGAGTCCGCGGCCTCAGTGCACACCGTCGCTCGGGCCTGTACACAGGAAGCCGGGGAGGGAAGCGCAGCCGCACTGAGCTGGGCACCTCCTCCCAGGGAACAAGCTTTGGTCCCAGCCACAGGGCAGAGCAGCTCACCAGGCACTTGGTTTTAGTTTGAAAACTGGGTGGATGACTGGATGTTAATGCCTAATTTAAAAATAAAACAAACAGGCCACTGGGTTGAAAAGAACAGGAGAGGAGACTTTTAGCTCAAGACGTGCAATGGAACACAATGGAGCGCTGCCGACATGAACTGAGCTGTTAAGCCAACAACTACAGGTTCATGGGCCGCTGCAAACCAGGGCGGCGGTCCCCCTCCAGCGTCCACAGGCCTCGCGAGCAGGGCCTCGGGCTGAGGACAGGGAAGGCCGCGCCCCGGAGGACGGGGAAGGAAGTGAGCAGCGTCAAGTATATGAGTGTCTTACTCAGCCGGCCCACAGCACACTTTACACTTGAATAAATAAGTGTGTTTTTCCTCAATGACAATAAATTTGTAGAAAATGAGAGCGTGAACATGTCTGACTCTAAACTGTATTCGGAGTGAGAAGGTAAGCGGCTGCACATGGACATTACTTCAGACTGACCCGAGGCCTCAGGAAGTCAGTCAACCCCACACGCCAGTCACGCCTGGGCTGTTTATGGTTAACCCCACAGAACAGAGCAGGGCCCAGCCGGTCTCCATGGCGACACCCAGTCCACACCCGACGCCACAGGGAGGACTGACGGCGGCGTGTTCACAGAGAACGGTGTGGGAGGGACTTTAACTAACCCCGTTATGAAATTAACTTTCCATCTCTCTACCATCGAGTCTTCCTTACTAAAAACAATCTTGCAACTAAAATTATTTGAAAACATTTTTTTCCAAAAGAAACCCAAGAAAAATTTAATTATGCCAAGAATCAATTTAGTTTTGCCAAATAGACTTTCATATACATAAAGCTGACCTTATTGAAGTTATAAGTTTTAGTTTTGTTAATTTTCATTAAAAAAACACAAAGCAAAATATCATAAAGCATAAACAAGAACAACTAAAATGGTTCCTAAAAATTCAAAATACTAAGAAAAAAAAGCAGGTTTGATGACATGAGAACAGAGTTTATTAATGTGACAGGCGGCTGTAAAAATGGGTGACACTTAGATGTATGAAGCAGAAGATCCATACATCTATGCGCTACGACAGATGAGAAGCAGGTAGGAGGTGAGAAACAGTCCGATACCTGTTACCCTGACGGCCGCTCCTGCTTTGAGGGAAGGAACAGACAGCAAAGGAAAGCGTTAGGAGGACGTCAGAGACAGCCAGCCACCCTCGCGACGCGCTCTCCACGCAGTGCCGTTCGCAGGTCACAGCGAGAGTTCAAGCAACAGTTCCAACTTACTTTGTCGTTTTGAACAACAAATGTGTTGCTGAATTAGGGCTCAAAGTTCAATTTTATCTGAGGTTGATTACTAACCAACGTATTTAAAGTTTATTCCAAAAATAATAATCCAAATAGGTTTTCAAAGCTCTAAAATATTCTAAGCAGCCCATCATGGATGAAATGTTTGCATCCCCCCGCCCCTAGTCCCATTCAATGATGAGAGAGAGTCATGGATTGGCTGCCTCCTGCACGCCCCAACACTGCGATCGAGCCCGCACCCCGGGCGTGTGCCCTGACCGGGAATGGACCGTGATCTCCTGGTTCATGGGTCGACACTGAGCCACACCGGCCGGGCTCATTGTGCTTTTATGTTTCAAATACTTTGCAGATTTTGGGCAGAATTAATAAAGACATAAAAGTTACTAAATGTTCAATTCTAAGGCTATTTCATATTATCAAAATATCAAATACTGTATTTAAAAACCTCATCTTTTAAAACTTATAGCCACTGCAGAAGATTTTTAAAGTTATAAGTGTTTATTATGTTTTGAATAGGCATTATTCTTATGGTTCAAAATCCAAAAGGACACAAGGTAAAACACTTCCCCTTCCTCCGGCCTCCAGCATGTACTCCCGGGAACCGCTCTGCGGCCTCCACAAGGACAGTCTACAAAGAGCAGGACCCTCAGCCCCAAGAGAGTGTGGCCCGGCTGGGGTGGCTCAGTTGGCTGAGCATTGTCCCATGAACTGAAAGGTCGCCGGTTCGATTCCCGGTCAGGGCACATGCCCAGGACGGTAGGCAACCCATCCATGACATCAGTGTTTCTCTCTCTCCCTCTCCCTGCCTCTCCCTAAAAATCAATTAAAACATTTAAAAATATATATACATATATATATAATTCATTGATAATAAAATATATTGTTCATTATCAGAAACTTAAAAACAAAGTGTGTCTGTGTATATAACATTCACAGGAATTAGACATCAAAGACTGAGGCAAGAAGAGCATTTAGAATTTAAAACGAACGTCTTTGGTGGTTCTGATGAACCAAATACAAGATTCCAGAACACAATCTCCCAGGCCCCACAGAGCACGCGCTGCCTGCCACGAACCACGAACCACAGCCACGGCCACTCCCCTGAAAACCAGGCTCCGAACAATGGAGAGGACCCTGAAAATGACCTCCAACCTCCTGCTCTTTTGTCACAAGACGACCTTCTGCTAAGACTGACTCTTCCCTGACAGTCTGCCCCGGGCGTTTTCCCGAGCAGTGAGTCCTCAGCAACGTGTGGTCAGGCTCTGCGACTGTAAGCAAAACCGGGTCAGAGAGAGAGACCAGTTCTACCCGCCACAGGCCACCGATACGCAGTCAGGTGCCCAGGGCACCTCGTGGGCGTGAACATGGAACCCAGCACCTGCTGCCCCGGACCCACTTTCACGCTGTCCAAGAGCCTTAACCATCACAGAACTTTAGGAGAGAAGTCACTTTACCCTGGAATGGACGTGCGCTTTCTGTCCTGAAACAATGCTAGAAAGCTCCGAGACGAGTTGGAAAGATTAAAAAAATACAATAGTACATCTCACAAGAAAATGAGAAAAAACTCACGACCACTGAAAGTCTCAGAAAGGAACAGTGGACACAGTATCTTCAGGACCCTCAATTTTCTGAACAAAAAGACACAGCCTACTTTTAGGCATTAATTAGCTTAAGCGAATATATTATTTTCTTGATTATATGTCCTCCTCCAGCTTTTACAAATGTGACCCATAGTCTAAGTGAATGCTAATTGCTAACAATAGTTACAATTTTAAGTCACATTTACTTTAATATTTCTTTCACTATGTAGAAGCATAAACTTCTGTCAACGAGGTAGACACACTCAGACATCTGTAAAAATAAATGCAAACTACGACTCATCAATGTGTCTAAGGGACATTGCCAGTATGTAATATTTCTGTACTTTAGACCTTCCTGAAGTTTAAATGCAGACTTAAAACTTTACACATTTCTTTGGCCTTGATGGTATTCCCCAGTTAAAGCTTTAGGATAAAATAAAATGTAAGGCCAGATACAAATGTACTTACTAAATATAATTCTATTTTAGTAATTTTTCTGAAAAGATGTAACAGAAACCAAGTAAAACAGCACCCAACTAAAAACACAACATTCAACTCGCGCGACTGCTCCTGCGTGACAGTAACTGTGAGGGACACGGCAGCCTCGCTGTGGGCGCTGCCTCTCAGGCACCGCCAGCCCCAGGCCAGGGCGCTGCTTCCTGTGCGGCTCCACGCGGTGGCAGTGGATGGTGTTCCCTTGGCGACAGGCCTGCTGCCACACCCGCCACTGAAACGCCAACAGGACAACGGCCTCAGCTCCGAGGACCCAGGGCCTCCCCGCAGGGCACCCGGGGCAGCAGCAGGAGAAGGAGCGGAGGACCTGCCGCTGAGCGGCAGGAGCGGAGGACTTGCCGCTGAGAATCATCAGCCAGACCATGAGCTGGCTCCTCAGGGGAGCCACTGTCTCCTTTAGGAGTGAGAGCCCCAACTGACCCGCTGGCTGTGAAAAGCCACACGGAAAACCCACCACTGCCAGCACCCGACTATTTACCGCCCGCAGGAAGTTACGCACCGAGACCGTCACAAACACTTTAAAAGCCAACGAGCCCCGTGGAAAGTCCCTAAAGTGCCCCCTACAGGCTCACTCTCAGAAACGCTGATCTAAGCAACAGGCTAAAAAAAGGCAAACCCGTACATATCCCTTTGTCATGTGACTATCTGAGACGTCAAATGACACTCACTGGTTGAAGTCGTATCTTAAGATGCTCTTTCTACTGACAAGAAAGAGACAGTGAGGGCGGATGTCTGCCTGTCACTGAGCCGCGTGCTCAGAGCCGCCACGGGACTCACCTGCGGCTGCGCCGAGGGGGAGGGCTCGGAGGGCAGGCTGTGGGAGGACCTGCTCCGCGGCGGGGGCTGGGGCGGCGTCTCCAAGCCGGGCTGGGGGGCAGCCTGAGGCAGCGGGGCTGCTGTCGGGACGAGGGGCTCCTGCATCTTTGGACCAGGCGGGGCGGCCTGAGGCTTCAGGGGTTCAGGAAGAAGAGGTGAACCTAGAAAGTCATTTTCCGAGTTAGGTGTTTCCTGGGAAACCGTGTGGAACCCTCTTCACACAGAGGCTGGGGCCTCGGGAGACCTGGCGGCCGTGCCTACCTCTGGGGACTTCGGAGGCTCTGCCCTGGCTCTCGGCAGCCGGCCTCCCAGCAGACGCCGCGGACACCCGGGCCTGGCTCTGCGGGGCGCTGATCACCCCGGCTCGGGGCGGGATCGCCGGGACCGTCTGCACAGAAACACAGGCATTACCTCAGACACCTGCGGCTCTCCGCGGGGAGACTGGCACCCAGCCTGCCCTCCTCTCCTTCCCCTTCCCCTCCCTCCTGGCCTCCCCAGCTGGGCAGGCTCGCTGCCCTGGATGGACAGCCACCCCCTCCTCCGCTTAAGGTCGGCATCTGTGTTTCTCAGTTGACAATGGGCCGCGCTGTGCGGATGAAGCTCATAGAGGCATTTCATCTTCAAAGTACCCCTCGGTGGTAGGCATGGCTGCGCCTCTCAAGGCCACAAGCCAGAGAACAAAGCCAGGCACCAGCTGCCGGGCGGTCCCTCCCCACAGGCCACGCCCCGGAGAGCAGGTGCAGAGACTGACGCCGAGGACCGACCGAGACTTGGTGCCAGCACAGAAGGAAGAGCTCTCCGTGACTCCTCGAGCTGGTGAGAACAGCCCTTCCTTTACATCCTCACCCGAGAATATTTTACACAGATTTGGGGGGGGGGTGTGGTAGAGTCAGTGAAGAGCGATTTGCCATCTTTCTGGGCACGGGAGAGGGGGGACAGGAGTCTGTGGGAAGCTCCCTCAGACATTAGTGTGATGTTTAGGTTGGAGGATAAATAGAGTTATAAGAGAAAAGACAGAACATCTCTAGCTCAGAAGGTTTATGAGAAGCCTAATTAGAAATGAGACGTGGCCTGTTAATTTCTAGTTATTGTAACAGGTCCCGGTTCCCGCTCTCCGCTGAGGGCTCCCGCAGGCCGGGCCACTGACCACTGTCCACTTCCTTCCTTCTTCTTTACATTACTCCCACCCGAGAGCATGTTCTTCGGGTGAATAATGGACGACTGTGTGTAAGGGAAGGCGTGAGGAGTGCACTGGGACAAGCCCCTGCCCTGCTCTCTGACACCCCGTGGGAACCAGTTCTGTCACGGCTCCTTTTCCTGAAACCTTATCACAATGATGGACGTTAACATCCTTCTCATTGAAGGGTGACTATCTCCCCACTAGCCCCTCAGGAAGCAGGACCAGAGCCACCCGCAAACCCCCTCACAGAGGCAGAGGCCGTGATGGGCCACACGCCTTCCCCAAGGCAACCCTTGTGGCTGGAAGCAAACTGGGACCTCGAACCCAGACCCCCCCCCCCCCCCGCCCCTGGCAGGTGCTGCCTACCGGTCTGGGCGAGCCGTGTCCAGCGGGTCCTGGGCCCGCGAGTCCCGCTGGAGGCAAAGGCTGGCTGTGGCCTGGAACAGAGTCACACGTGCATTTGAGATTTAAGACAGAAACGAGAAACCATGCACTGACTTCCCCGTCTAGTCACGGTCTCGTTCTAAGGAGAGCGGCTCAAGCCAAGTGCCTTTACCTAGGTTTTCTCTCCGCGTCGCTCCGGGGCTTTGGGGTGCTTTGAAGCGGGAAAGAAAAAAACAGTCGTGAGTGAACAGCGCATGGCCCGGGCGGGCTGCTCTGTCTCTGTGACAGGGACTGGCTTTGGATGATGGTGAAGGTCATCAGCCTGATGCCCCGAGAGGGCTCCTGAGCACACAGACCCGCTGACACGGCTCCCACCACACGCTCAGGCGGCAGCCGTGGGCGTCCCGATGGGCAGAGGGCCTGGGAGGCGCCCTGTGGGGTTTCTGTAACAATCCCACGGCCAAGGCCGAAGGCAGGCGGCCTCCTCGCTAAGTCTCTGCCTCAGGGAAGCAGTGGGCCACGGTGCAATGCAGACCTCAGGTTGACTCTTTTGAAAGGAAACTGTTGTATGAGACACATCAGCCCCTTAACGACTGTCATCACCACGAACGGCTTCTGCTCTTTTAAGCAAACTTAGTTCAGCATCGTTACAGATAAAACTATGTTATGTGAAATCACTCACAGATAATTCCTGGACCTGAATTAACAGGGCTTATCTATAATTATTAAAAGCTCAGGGTTAGAATAGTACATTTCTAAATATTTGACTTATTCTGGAAAGGATTTTGAAAGTATTTTCCTTAAAATAACATTGTACAGTAACTTCACATCCTCAGCGCATATGAAATAGATACAGAACAGCAGGACACTGCATAGGAGTCGCAAGGAAAGGAAGGGTACCCATTGGAAACTGGACACACAGAATGAAGGGAAAGGAGGCTTCAAGGTGCACAGAGGGGGGCGTTCGTGGCTGGTTTGCCTCCTGCACTGGAGGGGCCGACGTGTAGCTGCCCCGGGACGGGGAGGGGCCAACGTGTAGCTGCCCCGAGACCGGGAGGGGCCGACGTGTAGCTGCCCCGGGACCGGGAGGGGCCGACGTGTAGCTGCCCCGGGACCGGGAGGGGCTGACGTGTAGCTGCCCCGGGACCGGGAGGGGCTGACGTGTAGCTCCTTAGAAGGAACAGAAGCCGGATGCTGTCTGGGGCCCGCAGCACAGAGCAGACGGCTGGCACAGACAATGTCTGCGTTAAACTTAATTTTGCAAAAAGACTCTGTCTACGTGAAGCTCCTCCTACTATTTAATCAGGACAAACCAGTGACGTAGACGCCTGCCCACCCGCCTCCCTCCCCGGGAAGAGCGGAGGGACGGGGCCTTCTGTCTGCACGGCCGCTGCGGGGGAACGTGTGCGAGGAAAGCCTCTGCCACCTGCTCACCTCGCCCCCGAGGGTCAGAGCTGAACCTCTGGTAAGAGCTCAGAACACGACGGCCAAAACGGAAACACTCCATTTGAATTTCATTTAATTTCTGACTAAGTTAGTCTCTCAGAAGTTCATTTTGCTTCCTTATTTCTAAAAAACTCTAAGAGCATAAAGGACTTTCTCTAAGCTCACTGCCTGAGAGAGTTACTGGTTTACAGGGGAATGCACACATACTGCCGACCAAGCGTCACTAGAGGCCATTTAAAAAACGAAATCGGACTTCTAAGCTGGTAATGTGACATACCTTCTCACAAATTCATTAAAGATTTACTTTCTACTGGTTGTTTTCCTCACTGAAGGAGACTATAAACAGAATTATCAAGGAAATAGAACCAAAAGCAGGCGTTTGAAACAGGAAAAACTAGCATTTCTCTGAGTCCATGGAAAAATGACCAGCTAGCAGTGTTTTGCGGCTGTAATGCTGAAATAACTTAGCAATCAAATATACACCTCCACCTGAGCTCTGGAGTTTTCACATAAACCAAATAAACTACATTTAAACCCAAAGTGATTCGGTTGCTAATAAACATTGTCCTTATGTTTAGAAAACGGAGGCGTGAGATTCAGGGCAAGTTAAGACAAGGCCACGCAGAAGGCAGGCGGTTCTGCCGGAAACAGCTCGGGACGCCCTGCCGCCACGGCGCGTGTGGGCTGCTGGGCGAGGCGCTGTGTGGAGCGCCGCCGAGCCAACGCTGGGGCTGTGCTCAGTCCCTGTGCTGAGCCCACGGAAACCAGCCTGGTCCTGGGAAGTGAGCCTCTGTGGCCACTGACTCTCCTGACTGAGGGCCAGGGCCTGAGGCTGGCGAGCAGCCCACGCTGTCCATCGGGAACGGGCAGCCTACACTGAGCTCCGGGCCTAACTGAACAGGAAGAGAGTGCGAGTTTGGAGCCATTAAAAATATAAATGTCATTCACTTTGACTTTTACCAAACAAACCTAATGCCTTTCAGTTACAGGGATCAAACTCCAAACGCCATGGCCACGTGTGCAAGTGATAACAAACGAAACGGTTACCTCCAAGCTCCTTCCTGGCCAGCGCAGGACTCCTGGCCCCTGGGCCCCAGGAACACGCAGCAGAGAGGAAAGGACAGAGTAAGGCATGAGATGTCAGATGCGCTAGCCGTCCGCCGTCAGGCACCATGCAGGAGCTATGTATGAGCATCTTGCTATTACAAAAGCTGTTATTTAATGCAAGCACTTCTCATAACTCCAGTAACAACACATACTTATTAAAAAGAACACTGAGCCCTCACCGTTTGGCTCAGTGAATAGAGCATCGGCCTGTGGACTAAAGCAGCGGTCATCAACCGGTGGCCCCGGACCAGTGGTGGCCGTAAGATCCAAAAGGTTGGCGACCACTGGACTAAAGGGTCCCAGGTTCGATTCTGGCCAAGGGCACACGCCTGGGTTGCGGGCTCGATCCCCAGTGGGGAGCGTGCAGGAGGCAGCCGATCCATGATTCTCTCTCATCATTGATGTTTCTATCTATCTCTCCCTTCCTCACTGAAATCAATAAAATAAAATGAAATAAAAAGAACATTTACACAAACATGTAAAGCTTCATAGTAAGTATGTATGTTCTCTGGGTCTGACTACACAGTGAACAGGAGTTAGCACGCTGCATCAGCCAGCAGCAGCGACGCAGACTTGCACACCTGGAGAGGCAGCTCCGGAAGCCTAGTGGGCAGACTACCCATGGTTGCGCCTGCTGCGTTCTGCAGAGAACGGCGAGGAAGTAGCAACGACAGAAAGACAATGACATCTAGAAGCTGAGACCTGATCCGTGTCGCGGGCAGGGCTTTCTGTCCAGCAGGGGGACACGGTGGTCTGTTACCTGAAGGCGGAGGTGGTCGCTGCGGGGGTGCTGGCCGAGCGGGAGGGGCCCCCGGGCGGGGAGGCGGCGGCCGCTTGGGCTCCAGGACCTGCGGAGCATCCTTCTGAGGCTGCGCGGCTGACGGCGCGTCCACGGGAGAAGCGGGAAAAGCACCTGGGGAGAGGAGAGCAGGGTGCAAGGGGTGTGAGGCGAGGGACGGTGCCTCCTGCCTCCGTGTTGTAAACTCTCTATCCTGTAATTTCCTCAATTTGCACTGTCGCCAGATGACACGCACGTTTAGTGTCAGTGACATAAGCAGCTGTGCCTGTCACGCGCTCTGTGCCGCGGGGGCAGTAATGCTCGCTCCGCGTGGCTGCTCACCAGGCCCGGTGCCGCCCGGTACTCAGCGGCCCGGCAGGACGGCACAGCTGTGTGAGTTACTGGCAGCCGCTGAGCAGCAGAGAGAAGAAAAGGGAGGCTGGCTTTTCTCTAGGCCTTAACTTGAGCTTCCTTAGCGAGTGGAAGGGGCAAACCAGAGACGCTAATGGCATGGAACATGCTGGTCACGTGGACAGTCATTATTCGTGAGATAGAAACAGCTTCCAAAGACGCACCTTCCAACCTTGGAGGACTGACTACAATTTCAATGCAAACGTCTGCTGGTCTCTTCCCGTTTCACACGGTAACAGAGGCCACGTGCGGCTGCAGTGCTAAGCCACCAGCAGGCTCCTCACTACCACAGGGACAGGCATCGGTTAAAGACGGGGCCAGCCAGGCACGGGACAGGGATGAGGATGAAGTCTGGTATTGTTTCCACATAGGGCGCCTCCTGAGAGCTTCCCCTTCCTACACGCGAGCCTCCGCCCACCTGCTCAGGAATACAGCCCCGCCCCCCCCCCAGACTCTCCCCGGGAGCTCGAGGCGCCGGGAAGGCCACCCGAACCCGACCACAATACACACTCTGTGGAGGCGGCTGCCCCGGAGTCCTGGACGGGGTCCGGCTTGGCCTGACGGGCAGGGAGGGCAGCGGGACGTCCGCTATGGTGGGCGACTGGCAGGGGCTGGTCCGCGGGGAAGAGCTGGGGGACGCGCCGAGGCCGCAGCCCGGGGACGGCTGCAGGTGCTGGGGAAGAGCCTCCTCCACCTCGGCGCTGTAGTCGTCCACGTCCCCTGGGGAGACAAGGGCAGGTCATGCGGCCTAGCTTTCCAGACTGTGCTCACCAACCTGGGTTAAGGGGGCAAGTACAAAAGAAGCGTTGCTATCTGACGCGGACGCAGGCGTGGGCTGTGTGTGGGCATGGATAGAAGTTTATGGTAATGGGACCAGATCAGCACCAGCATTCGGACAGAACACGCCTCTCAGAGCTACAGGCCGTGGGGACCAGACTGGGAGCTGGGCTGGCCTGGACTTCCACGTTGTTCCACTGGGCGATGACCATCTACTGCTGTCCCTCCACCTCCCACTGCTGTGGCATGGCCCCTCCCCGCCCCGCCCAGGCGCGCCTCCCGGAGCCTCCTCACTAGCCTCCCGGGGCCCCCACCCCACCCCTCACAGACTCTCTTTGCTTTAACTGAACTGGTTCTCCAGGCCTCCTCGTCTCCTTGCCACCTCATTCGAGCGCCAGAGCATGAGTCTTCATGGACTAAAGGCTATTTCTCTGTGGCTTTGCCATCGGAATTTACCTCCCATCCTCCACCTCGCCTGCTGCCGCCGTCTCCAACCCCCACCTTTCCTCCACACGGAGCCCACGCAGGGCGAACTGACAGAGCAGGACTGTAAGTGACATCTTCCTGGGTGAGTCAGAGGCCACGGGACAACCCTCCAACCTAAATACCCTGGTCTTGTCCTTCCTCCCCCACAGACACTCTCCTCCACTCCCAACACGCCCTCCCCGGCCCCGCACTCCCCACACCGCCTCGACCGCCACCTCCCGCTTCTCAGTCTCCCAGTCTCTCCTTTTATTTTATTTCTTAATCCTCACCCGAGGATATTTTTTCCATTGATTTCTAGAGAGAATGGAAGGAAGGGAGGAGGGGGGAGGGGAAAAAAAGGGAGAGGGAGAGAGATATCGAGAGATAGAGAGAGAGAGAGAGGGAGAGAGAGAAGCATCAATGTGAGAAAGACACATCAATTGGTTGCCTCCTGCACACGCTCCAGCGGGTCTGGGCTGGGGATGAAGCCTGCAACTGAGGTACGTGCCCTTGACCAGAACCGAACCAACCACGCAGCCAAACCGGCTAGGGCTGAGCCAAACGTCCTTAAAGAGCATCTGCAGACACTGCACGCCCACCTCCACGCCCACCTCCGTCCACACTTCCACCTCCACGCCCACCTCCGTCCACACTTCCACCTCCACGCCCACCTCCATCCACACTTCCACCTCCATCCACACTTCCACCTCCACGCCCACCTCCGTCCACACTTCCACCTCCACGCCCACCTCCGTCCACACTTCCACCTCCACGCTCACCTCCGTCCACACTTCCACCGGGGGTGCACACTTCCATCTCCACGGGGACCTCCGTCCACACTTCCACCTCCACGCCCACCTCCGTCCACACTTCCACCTCCGGCCACACTTCCGCCTCCACGCCCACCTCCGTCCACACTTCCACCTCCACGCACACCTCCGTCCACACTTCCCACGTCCACGCCCAGCTTGGTGGAGACTTCCGGGCCCGAGCACCTGCCCCGCCCCGCCCCCGGGGCCCGGGGGGGGGCGGGGGGGGGGGGGGAGGGTGCTCGGGGAGACGGAGGCCGACGTCGGAGGCCGACGGGGAGACAGAGGAGCGGGGGATTGGGAGATCG